TTATAGAAATCAAGAAGTGGTTGACTACTGCACCCGTGTTGGTTTTACTGGTGGGACATGTGGATATATAGTATATAGTGATGCTTTCTACATAGAGTTGGGTTGTGTTCAATGCAGCATGATAAGTTCATAATCTATTGATCTAGGCAGTTAAAGAGTCATGACAAAAATTACCCCACCCATGACTTAGAACTTGTCGCCATTATCTATGTCTTGAAGACCCGGTGCCACTACTTGTGTGGAGAGACTTTTAAGATTTTTACTGACTATAAGTGCTTGAAGTCCATATTCATTTAGAAGGATCTGAACATGCGTTAGAGGTGTTGGATAAAGCTCTTCAAGGATTATGATTGTCATATTTTGTATCACTTAGATAAGGGCAATGTAGTAGCTGACGCGCTCAGTAGAAAAAGTGCATGTATGTTAGCTCACATAATAGTTTCTGAATGCAAAGTAATAGGGGCTGCACAACATATACGACTTCAGGATTTAAAGAGAGTTGCATGTTTGGCCTTCTTGACTGTCTAACCTGAATTGATTCAGAGAATAAGAGAAGCCCAATTAACTGATTCCACCACAGCCGCCCTCAAGAAAGATGCAGAACATGGAGTACATCCAGAATTTCGAGTCTCTGCCGATGGATTGCTCAGGTTTCAAGACAGGGTGTGTATTTCAAATGAAAGTGAACTAAACATTATGACAAAGGCTCATAACTCTAAGTTCGCCACACATTCCGGAAGTACTAAAATATATCAAAGTATGCGACCCCAGTTTTGGTGGAGTGGGATAAAAAGAGAGGTAGCCGACTTTATTTTCAAATGTATAGTATGCCAACAGGTTAAGGCAAAACATCAACACCCAGGCAGGTTACTTCAGCAATTACCGATTCCGGAGTGGAAATGGAAACATATCACAATAGATTTCGTAACAGGGTTACCTAAGGCACGCTCAGGACATGATACAATTTGGGTAATTATCGACTGGCTCACTAAGTCTTCTCACTTCTTGGCTATCAAGATGACCGACCCCTTGGACAAACTATCAAGAATGTACATCCGAGAGATAGTCAGGTTACATGGGGTTCTAGTGTCAGTAGTATCCTACAGAGACCTCAGGTTCACTTCTCGATTTTGATATAGTTTTCAACAAATTATGGGAATGAAACTATCCCTTAGTACCGCATTCCACCCTCAAACCAATAGACAATTAGAGAGAATGATTCACACACTAAAAGATATACTCTGAGCTTGTGTTCTAGACTTCGGGGGCCATTGGGATGATCACCTGCCTTTGATAGAGTTCGCTTACAATAACAGCTACCAGGCAAGTATTAGTATGGCTCCGTACGAGGCATTGTATGACCGTGCAGATCATTGATCTGTTGGGAAGAGGTGGGTGATAGAAAATT